TCGTCCATCACCTGCTTGACATAGTACTATGAAGTATTTAAATTGGGAAATACAACCAATTCTAAGAGGGATTAGAAAGAACTAGATGGCCCTAAGAACTGAAATAGTAAGAGAGGAGTAACCTCCAGAAATACAACAGAAGGTACAATGTGTGCACTCTATACTAAGAATTTCTCCTATAAAAGGACTTTGCCAATTTAAGACATCCCTGATGGATTTCAGTATCTCACTGGTCTCATGCCCACACATTTGTATAGCAAAGTTCAAATGCACCAGCTGGGGAAGTCAAATACAAAGTGATTCTTTGTAAATGCTTTGAGATTAAAACTTCCTGTGATCTCCTAGCCAAACCCAAAAAACCCAAAAACAAACAAACAAAAAACCTGCAATACTGAAAGCAAAAAAAAAAAAAAACTCTAAAAGTTATTTTTCTACTCAGTGTCTTCAGTCAAAATTATTTAATCTTTTTAATTGATAACCAAAGTATCTTGCCCCACGTTTGGTTGCATCCACAACCAGAACATTAGCTGGGATCCCCACAGCAGTGGTCTCATAATCCTTCAAGTTTGCAATCTGTCATGTGCTCTTGCCACAAAATCATCTGATACTGTAGCAGTTCTGGGATTTCCAAATCAACAGGTTTTAACTGTCATCACCACAATCAGGTACCCAATTTCTTTGCCCATTTTTTGGCAGAGCTGGGTGCGTGCAGCCTTTTTAAAACAGCTTATGACAATACTGAAAAAGTTATTTAAATTTTCAACTTGACAGTTTTGTCTCTACGCAGAATCTAGTCAAGGCAAACTCACTGAAGAGCCTTGAAAAAATTACATCATGAATATGCACATAACAGCACTAAAGATGACTCATGAAATATTTAATTATTCCCTTCTGCAGATTTAGCTTCAGATTTAGTTTTCATGCAGAGGGATAAATTGTGAATTTCTATGAAAATCTGTGAGATTATCAGGTTAAAAAAAAATTATTGTCCCATTGCCCACTTTTCTATGAAGAGGGCTTTCTCCTTTTTAAGTTTTCCCCCAAGAAAAATTCAGTTCTTGGATACAACCAAGTAACAGAAACAAGACACTCTGCCTAACAATCTGCCATTATTCCACTTCTGGTTTTTATTATGCTCCTTACTGTACGGTAACTTGGCTTACAAGCAGCAGTTAAGGCCAAGGGGCAGGTCATGAAAAATATCCTTAAGCAAAGGATACTGAGAGTTTTTAGCACATCGTTTGTGTTCAGCAATGTCTGATGCATCTCAGAACCAGCTGTACTGATGAACTACACATATCCCAAGGTAAGAACAGTTCTCAGGTAACTTCCTAAATGCTACACCCAACATTTGCAAGCAAGGCTGCAGCTTTCTGGGGTATCTGAATGATGATACCCTTGGCCATTTGAAAAATTCAACAGCAGTTCAGATTTTTTGAATAATCATTCTGGAGTCTAAGAGGAAGCAAATACAACCAAGTTAATAACATACCTGACCATCATGAGAGCACTAGCTCCATTTCTTGACTTTGATGCAGCACATGGTTCTAAAAAGACAACTCACAAGTACTCTACAGAAGCTGACAAAGGAAAAAGCAAAAGCTTCTGGACAGAGATGAATCAACAGGACTGGACTTCTTCAGACCTCGTCACTTACTGGGCTAAAATTAGTATGTCATGTTCACAAAAAAAAAAAAATATTGACCCAGCAGATGATGTATTAGAAATTGTTGACAATCTTCATTTGTGCATGCAGGGACACAGACATTTTTGCAGTTCTGAGGAGCTCTTGATAAGAGGTTTGATGCAGCGTGGCACATCCAGCGCCCAGGTGACCCGTCTCCTGCTCAGCCCTGGTTTGCTTCTAGCAGAGCAGCTCACCCTGGCCATCACCAAGATCTGGCCTCCTTTTCCTCCAGCTGCAGACCTTAAGATCTCTAATGGCTTAGTGAGAGATGCCAGAACTGTTCCTCCACCATGCTTCCCCTCTGTCCCTCCTGCACTGAATTGTGACAGGTTTAAATTCTTCTCACAGTTGCCACATCTTGCAAACTTACTCAAATTTATTTTCATTTAGATTTCAGAGCGAGACTAAAGTTTCAAGAAAATCACTTAAGCAGACGTATCATGAAAAGCAAAAGAAATCACAAATGCCAAACTTTAAAGTCAGCTCATAAAAATTACAAAGACTTAGTTACTTTCATTACAGGAAAATTAAACTCCATTTATTCTTGGATGCAGCACAAGAGTGAAAACAAGAATTAGGAAAAGGGAGAAAAGTTTAATGAAGAGAAGATTACCTTAATTTGGACGAAGGTAACTTCATCTCCTCGCTTCAGAAGGAAGTTAGCCATCTGGTCCACAGCAGCTACTCTCCAGTTATCTCTAAATCTTCATCTCACCAGTAGGAAGGAAGCAAGCTGCCAACACACGCTTCTTACCCGAACACCGAGCTCTACCCACACTGTCATCACACAGCTCCGAGGTGTTCAGTATGCCACCAGGGCACCTGCCTACCTGCCCCATGGCAGATTTTGGGAGAATGAGGCTGAGCAAGTTAAATGAACTAATGCAAACAGATCAATAGTAAAACAGTGCTCAGGAGCCAAAGCTAAAGCTATTTATAACTTGTCAGACAAAAACCAGATGCAGGAGAAAGTTTTATGAATTAGTTGAAATTCAACAAAAGCTTTTGGTTGAGGTTCCCCGATTTAAATGGTTAAAAGTTTCAGGACAGCTCTGCCCCACTGTGTCCCTTGGGACCACGGATCCAAGGCCATCTACAGGTACAGGCCTGCCACAGGGTGGGAGATGGAGAACATACAGCTGGAAACTGCTCCCTGCCATGCCGAGATTTCCAAAAAAAAAGCCCTCTGGCTCCTGCTTAAATCTCAGCTCTGGCAACTTCACAGAAAGCTTGGAAACATAATGGAGAATTAAACTATGCACAGAGTAAAACTAGCAAAGCAACGGACAGGAGAATTTATTTGTATAACACAGGAACACAATATTCAGATGTTTCAGCACAACCCCTGTAAGCAATTTTGTTTCATGTTAAGAATATCTTGGTTATTTCTAGCTCCCAAAAAACAGGAGGCATTGCCATTGGCACCATTCGTTGTCTTTACTCATACAACTCAAAGCCAAATCTCAAACGCTTCAGTGTTCCCTTCAGACAAGGAAGCAACACAAACTTCTGGTTTTGAAGACGGGGGTATATCCCTTCCCTACTGGTGCCCTCTCCGGGTTCTTGTGCCCAATGTTACAGCCACAACCATAGGACCAACCTTTTACAGTATCTTCAAGGTAAGTCTTAGGCTATGAGTTGGCAAGAAGTGTGACATGAGAATCTGACTTGTAGAACACAAGAATCTGACTTGTAAGACAGGACGTACCTCCTGCAGTTTAGCTTTATCAGGGAAGAACTCCATTTGTGCACTGACACCACCGTGTGATGCAAACTGAAGTGTGACAAGCAGGGAAGAATCAGAGATTTATTTCAAGAGCATTCAACTGACCCAATACAAAAATGGCAGCGTAGGTGTGCCCTCGTTCTCCCAACAGCTTTCCACACCACCAGTACCCCTCATCGCTGCAGGAAACATGCAGCACTGAGATAAGATCCATTCAGATAACCCCCCCTCCAACTGAAGGCAGTTTCATTATTTTCAGGCTTCAGCATCTATCCTCATGATACTAACTTAATATCAAAGCCTATGCCTCCGATATGCAGAAGTAAGCAACAGTCATTGATCTGCACAATCCAATTTTAATTAAGCAGGCCAAGAAATCATCACAAACTGCCATCTCCTAAAAGCCTTCTCTCTTCATTGCAACAGCAAATTTTAGTTACATATGATGAAAATCCAGACCGGGTAAGAAAAGTTTTCCCCAATTTGTTTGTTTACTTGATGATAAAGGACCCTAAGCTTCCTCAGAGACTTGTACCACACAAGATTACTAAAGAGAATAATAAGCTATGTTCTCTCATCTTTTTTTTCATTCTAAAAACGAATCACAAGAACATTAATTGCTTAATGTTGCAAGTGCCTAGAGCCAAGCTCCTATATACGCAACAAGACTGTTTTCACATGGCAATCCAAAATCATCTTTGATTTACTGATGCTTACATCTTTTTTACTACCAGAAGCTACAAACACAAGACTGATAGCAAAATTATTTGGCTTAATATAAAGGAAATACAGTAGATTTTAGAATGACACCAAAACCCTAATATTTACAAGTATTTTCAATAACAAAGACACTCAATGAAATTCCAAGTTTACCAATTACTGCACATTTGTTAGAAAAACAACTTGATGTCTGATCTATAGACTCAACACTGATGTTAAACAGCTTGACTAATCATCTTAAGTGCACCAATTTTCATTACAGGAGTGTTTATTTTCTTCTTCTCACGTCCAGATGTTTTAATGTAGTCTCTAACAAGAGAGAAGTACCCCATCTGAAAAAAAACCAAAACCCATACATTTGCTTTTAAATACAATTTTAACACTGTTTTGAGACTTGGTATATATTTGAGTACTGATAATCAACATTTCTCAGGCTACTGCATTTCCTACAGAACACCAAGTCAAAACTTTATTAATTTGTCTGGAGACATATAGAGACTACTTGCTTTTCTTGGAAAGTGACAACACTGATAACCCCCTAAAAGAAGAGAACTAGGCTAATCATAACATGGAGTGAGTATCCTTTAATAATATTCTTTATTATGAGAATAAATACATAAAACAAACACAATATATTAGCCACATTTCATCATATACATTCAGAATATAACAGGAAGCTAACAGGCATAACCATCAGAACTAGCTGAACAAACAAATTTTTATCTAAGCCAACAACACCAGAGGAAATCTGGAAAGTTGATGCGCTAGCAGCGGGCAAAGAACATGTGATTTCAGTGTTTCCTTGGTATTAATTATTAATTTAAAGACAAACATACTGTAGTTATAAGCATGAACTGACAGAAGCGTTCAGCTCCGTGCAGTGGCCGTCTGAGGTTGTTCGGACTGCAACTGCTTCCCAAGGTATTCCCTGAAATACAATAAAAAAATTATACTGAGAGACATTCTGGAGAGCAGGGAGTAGGACAGTGGTGGGAAGTATGAAGTAGAAAAAGAGGAAAAAGTCTTTAAGTTTAGAATTAATCCTTCAAATAACATCTACTACTATTCGATAGTCAACCGGAGCTACTATGAGAGTACCGAAGCTTTAGGTATCCACCATCTATCCCTCCGAAAATAAGGTATGAACCGAACATCAACAAAACTGTCTGGGAAAAGCAAAAGCACAGTGGTAATATTTAGAAGACCTGGCAACTGTTACAGAACACCCACGAAGCCCCCAGATTTGCTTACTGTATATACATATTAGAAGCTGTGGCAAAGTGTCTAAGAGGATCTCTGCCCATATCCTAGCTGCCGGAGCACAAGTCATGCCAATGGATATAGTGGCACTGTAACCCACAGACTAGTAAAATAGAGGTTGACTGAAGAACTATACATTCAAGTTGGAAGAAAGAAAAGATATCCAACTATGTCCATTGTATACCAACACTTTCTTTAAAGGGTTTTCTTCACCTGTACTTTGAAGTGCACTAAGTCACTTATTTTTATACCTGTCCTCCCAACACTGGAACAAACACCCTCCATATTCCTAGCATTTGCCTTGAGCAACAATATCTGCATTTTATGGAAAAACACTGCACAATTGTTCTGAACATTCCCATCCTTCACTGTCTTCTGTGAAAGCAGCTCAACACTTCACAAAACCACAAAGAAGCTGAAAGAGGTCTTCCGTAACATCTGAGTTGTCACCTGTTGCAGAAAATAAACTTCAATAACTGCACCACTGTATCAGCTGGAAGAGGGGTTTCAGGACCCGTGAAACGTAGGCGTTCTTTTTTCCATTACTGATCATACACTTAGCACCACAGTTTTTCTCACTACACAGGTATTTCATCCTACACAGGTTAAACATTAGCAGTTCAGAGAAATTATGTTCAGAACGAACTCTTATATTTGAAAAATTAACTCTAGAGTATGCACTTTTGCTTTATTTAAAAAAAAATATAAAAGATCAGTGCTTAGCGCACATTTCAAAAACTAGTTTTCAGCTTAGCATCCTGTTGAACAGCTATCCCCCCCTGCATTACAATTCCTATCGCACAATAAAGTTTAGCATCACAACTGTACCACCCAACAGCACTTTTCTCAGTTTTAAGTAGGTAGAAAAGCAAAATTCCTATGAAGCATAATGTTAACTTCAAATTTCATTAGCAAAGAAAACACCACACAATTTGGATGCTGAGCCATATGTGATGATTTAGCACCTTCCTTCACAGCACAGCTTTATCAGGTGTTACTGCAAGATCACGGTATTTGAATGCTTGGGCTGCACCCAGCAGACATGACTCTTGATCATAACAGCTAGGCTGCCGCCCTCAAAGTAGAGGCTCCTGATGGTGAGGGAGCAGATGAGCTGCTCTCTTGTGGTTTTGCAGGACTCAGAATTGGACTACCAAAATAAACAAAAATCTGACAGCCATCCAAAAACACAGACAGCAACTATGGAAGAGCTTCCAAACTCAAACCTCCTTCTGCTCCCTCGGTTGTTTTTTCTTTGTTTCACGCCTATATGCACGTACTGATTCCAGAATTTCTTCTCTGACATCCAGCCTTGAAAGCAACTCACACTTGCTGCATAAGTGGCTCTGCCCACAGCATCACAAGCCTACAAAGTTATTGATTCTTAAAGCACACAGGGACCATTCTGAATGTGAAATTCCTATGCAATTACTTAGAAGTAGGAAAATCAACCAAGCTAACAATCCGTAGCAGCACAACTATTGCACAGCTTACACTGGTTCAGATGCACGCTCAAGGCTTACTCAAACCCAATCACAGTGCAGCGTATTCGGTACAAACCTCTGAGAAGGCAGAGCAGGAGCATATTTTGTAGGTACTTAGTGCCTTAACAGCCACGTTCTACCTCAAAGGACATACAGTACATCGTACAGCATCTTCCCTACAAAACATTTTATTTCAGTCACTCATCTACAGGTGTGAGGCTTAAGTCCAAGCTCTTATCCCGTTTCCTCACAGAGAACGAGTATCTGCAGTTACTGCTCCACATTCCCACACTGCAAACACAGGTGAGAACCCCCTCTGCCCATACCCCAGCACTTCTTTAGCCACCACCAAGGGCCACTGACATGCAAAAACCCCCTTGTCCCACCTGCTGTTACAAGTACCAGTTGATTTCCTATTTGGTTACCATTTCCAACCGAGTGTCACTGGTTAACCTAGGACAAGTTATTGCACAGCCTATGCCAGATGAGGAGAGGGATTGGTAAGAGACTGATAGGAGGGATTTAGACAGCTTCTTTCTCAACACAAAGCTTTCATGTGCAGCCATGGGACAGCAGACTGATATCACTCTGCCAGGCCTTTGGTCACTCGTCCCTCATGTTCCACCCAAACTCAAGCTACCGAGAGTAGCTTCCGTAGGCCCCTGTTCTCCCTCTGTTAAAATAATTACCAAAAGGACAAGAAAATTCGAGTATATTTTTTACATACTGGTATTTCATCACATCAGGTGGTTAAGTGCCACCATAAGCTTCAGCCTTCACCCATCAATTGGACACAGGTGTCCATCACTATGCTATTACAAATCCAGCGTCTAAGATTTTTTTATTTATCCTGCATTGTTACTTCGTTAAATCTTGAGAAAAAACAGGATTTTAGAATTACTGTTTACCCCATGAAATTAAAATTACCATTAAGAATGCAAGCCTTCAACACATTGCACCGTAAGAGCATGTACGATGAAAAGACAGATCTTGCCACCAAGATAACAACACACTTCACAAAATACTCAAAAATACAACCTGACAGGTTAAAGATGCAGACTACAATGGAAAGTAATGAGGTATTAGACTTGATTTTTTAAATTACAAGCTATAAACCCATGAATTGGGCCACTTCTCCCTATTTTAAACTTATTTTGTCAGTCTTCCCTTCATAAGTGCAGAAAAAGACCACCTTTCTGCAACAAAGGCATCATGGTTGGTCTTTTGCAAGCACATCAAGTTTCTAAGATTTTTAAACTCATAAGCAAAAGTATAGAACGTGACAGACTAAGACAAAACATATCCTAACATTTGACATAGGTGAGCTTTGGGGCCCACATACCCATTGTCTTTCAATACACATTCTTAGAAGTAATACAATTTTTCCCTTCTAATCAGGCCAAGATCTGCAGGGTGTCGCTCAATATGCGTTCTACAAAATGTACAAAATTCAAGTACAAAGGTCTGGAAAAAGACCAAACTACTGTCCTGGCCAACAACAAATTCAATCACCAATTCTTTCCACTAGAAAGCTGCCTTTCACCTTGAGTAGGCATTGTATTACTGCATGCGATACTTCAAAAGCCAGTCTGAGGTAGTCAACATTTTCCCAATACAAATATGCTCGCTGTGCAACCGTTACATGAGGCACCTTGCAACAGTTCCTAGTAGCAGTAACTTGGACCCAGCACTAAAAACCATGCAACACAGAAGGCAGCAACTTGTCCTCCAGCATTAATAACCAAGAAGTAAAGTTCATTGAGCAAAGGCCCAAATACCTTGTAAGGTCAAATTTGCAAGTTTAGCTCTTGGGATAAAAAGTTCCACTCCGACCATTTATCTCCCATTGGAACAGAAAGACCTTTATAAAAAGGTCAGTTTTAGCCCCCTTCTGACTTCTTCAACATCAAACGATCCTTACTACAAAGCAGGCAAAGCTGGTCCAGACAAGCTTGCATTCAGAGTTAACTGCATTCAAACACGAAACAATTCAGTATACATTTACGAGTGCACAAAATATTACCCTGCACCGCAGAAAAGCACCAAAACATGCAAGCGTAGTACACCACTTGTGAGAGGAACTACAAAATCCTCCATTTCGCAGTTAAAGCTCAGACCAACAAAACCTGAAACACGACATTTTTTCATTTCCTTGGTCATTCAGACAGCTGACGGTGAGGCATAAGTAATTTCCATTTGCAAATTAATCTCTTAATTCATATTAGAAGAACTGGGTGAGATTCCTTCCACACTAGCAATTTCCCCTTTTTGGGATCTAACCTTCAAACACACATTTTCTGTGCTATCCAAAGTGCTTTTTCCAAGACGAAAAGGAAACTTAGAAGTGAATATATGAATTTGTTGCATCTTAAATCCTTATTCCAATGTGTTGCTTCATTCAGTTTAATTGAATTGGTTTTGTTACAAGAGACACTGACACCCTCATGCCGAGATACACTTCAGTGTTACGGTAATTGCAACAAATGCTTAAAGGTCATTTAGGAAAAGGCACAAGGGACTGATCAGTCACAAAACCCACCAAATTCTGTGAGTATGGACTAGGGAGAGAATCGCAAATTGGCACAAGACCCTACCTGAAAATTTTATACTAATTTTCAGATTAAACAAAGAACCATTGTCAACAACAAACAATCTACAACAGACGGGAAACTTTTAAGGTACATACAACAGATTTCCAGAGGTCATGTGCTAAAAGGAATAAGCCTCGCAATTTAATAACTACTGCTTTTAGCGTTATACTGCAAATTCCGCTGCAGTTAGATTTACTTTTCCTTAAGGAAAAATGAAAATTCTTTTTGGCAGGCAAGGGAAGAAAAGTAGATGAAGTGTAGAAGAAAGGAAGGGTGATATTTTCCTATTCTATCTTTTCTAGCAACATTTATCTTAAATCTCTTGCTTAAATCCAATTTATAGAAGAACTATGTTATCCAAAAACTATTTTTCAGTCTTGAACATCTGTAATTTCTAGCTTGTTTTAGCAGACTGAGATTCCTAAGAGGCAGAATGCTTTCCTTTGACAAAGAACAATATAAAAATATTGATTTTTCTCTATCTAAATAGAAACCTAGAGTTCCATGCTTTTGAGAGTGAAAATGAAAAGCTAGTTCTAAAGAAATCCCTCCCCCTATGAAAGAGTACAGAAATGTACTAAAGCTACAATAGA